TTGCGATTTTCTATGCCGATATGGCTAGGAACTATACTCTCATTCCGGCGTAATAATCAAGTTACTTTGCTGCCGTACCGTGGGTGCAGCAGACGCAATGATATCACGCAGTGCCTGAAAATAGGCTAACTTCCGTCAACATAACCAACTACACAAACTTAGTGCCGGTCACGTTGGAAGTTACCTAGCTGGGGACTATTTTCAGGCGCTGCGTAATATCATTGCGGAAATCATAGGAAAAATATCGAAACTCTTTGGTCATTTTTGAGCGAGATGCTAACGGTCTAATCAGATTCAATGATCTATGCTAAGCTACAGCTAAAAGTGCTACCGCCAGACCCAGAGATCGGCTGAATGGATTCGAAAACGGTAAAACTCAACTGTTTAACTCTAGGGGAGTTGGAAAATGAGCCTATTTTCAAAAATAGTGGAGTGTTCCTCTAAGACCAGATGGCTTTTTTACTGGAGGAAGCAATATTATGGACTATTTTGGCCAGAAACAAAGTGTTGAGTTAAAATTGTCTCAATGACGTATTTGTTTCTTACAAACACACAGCTTTTGTCTTCACAAGACATTAACTGATGGAGTGGAGTGGTGTGGATTACTTGTGGATTATTGTGATGTTTTTATCAGCTGTTTGGACTCTTGATCTGACGGCACCCATTCACTGCAGAGGATCCTTTGGTGAGCAAGTGATGCAATGCTACATTTCTCTAAATCTGTTCAGGTGAAGAAACAAATTCATCTACATTTTGAATGGCCTGAGGCTAAACATTTTATTATTTTTTTCAGGAAACTTTAATTTTTGGGTGAATTATTCCATGTTTTGAAAACAGAATGTCCTCACCATCTTTCCACCGGTGGCTCTCATGTGCTGTCTTTCTGAAAGCCAGTGTTTGTCCTGAGCATCAGCGGCATACTGAGACAAAAAAGATATTACCTCCACATGAACACAGAAAAAGCTTAATGAATGCTCAGAAAAAGACTGAAAGTACCTTGAAGAGCTCTGCATGTTTGATGTAGATTCTTCCTCTTGTACCGCCCATTCCCAAAGCCCTGAAATTATATTAGTGCTTGTTGAACGTATACATCCAAACATCAGCTATTGTGAAATATATAATATAATATAATAGGAGCAAACCTCTGTACACTTACTTATTTGCCCTGGATCCCAGAACGAATGTGCTGCTCTCAGTCAGTCTGGATGGGTCCCACTATACAGACATCAACACACTCACATTAATATCATATAAACATTTCAGTATCAATTATTATGCTATTTTAATCCGAATGCACATACCTTAGGTCCTTCTCGCTTTATTGGCTCGGATATTTTGAGTTTTGCTCTGCGGAGGATGTTTAAAAACTTCAAAAACATAAATCTTTAATATGTGGAGATATCAGATAAAGAAAACATAAGGACACTTACGCGGTGCTGTACGAGGCTGGTCTGTCATACTGTACAACAGTACCTGGAGGGCGACCTTTCCTCTGAAAATAAACATTCATAAACAAACATGTATTTATAGTTGTTGGTGTTAAAAACAACAGCAATCTGGCTTTTGAGATATTGTTTATGGTCATTGTTTTTTATATATAATACTGTTTAATAGTATGGGGACAGATTTTTTTTTTAAAAGAAATTATTCACCAAGAATGTATTATATAAAAGTTATAAAAAGATTTCAAATAAACGCTGTTTATATTAAATTTATCACGGTTTCCACCAAAATTTGAAGCAGCACAACTGTTTTCAACATTGATAATAATGACAGATGTTTTTCAGCATATTAGAATTATTTTTTTTTTGTTAACAACTGTTTTATTGAGTTTTTACAGAAATGTAAAAAACACAAAACTAGTATCAGCTATACAGGACTTAACCCATCCCACCCTGGTAGACCTCAAACATATATATAATAATAATAATAAAATAAAACGGTAGTAATACTACTAAAATAAAAATATTATATTGATTTCTGAAGGATCATGTGACACTGAAGACTGGAGTAATGATGCTGAAAATTCAGCTTTGATCACAGGAATACATTACATTTTACAATATATTTAAATACAAAAAAAAAAAACGTTATTTTAAATTGCAATAATATTTCCAAATATGCTATTTTTTTATTTATTTTTTTACCTTTTTAGGGATGGGACTGTCTCTCTGGCCAGAGGTGTCGTCTGGCTGCCGTGCACGCTGTGAAATGAATATCGATAAGAAATAAAAAATAAAATAAATAAATAAACAACTTAGAACTAACAAAAAAAAAAACCAGAACAGAAAAATGTCTGCTACAATTCCAGATACATTTATAGTTTTTCAGGTAAGTGTGCAGGTTTTCGCAGACTAATTAACATATGAAATTAAATTCTCGAGGAACTGCATAACATTTACCTTCACTGTTGGGTCAACACTGGGTTTCAGGGCCGTTTTCTCTGTACCAGGAAAGAGCTGTTTTGCCTAAAATAGAAACAGAACATCAACTCATAATTTGACTTACCACCAATTTTAGCATTTATATTTGTAAAAACGTGCATAAATCATGTTTTACATGTTCCAGGCAGTTTCTGCAAGCATCTCTGATAAGCTGCTCGGGCTGGACGTCAACTCCAACATTCTCTTTCACATTGCTGGCCGCTTTCTCAAAAAACTGCAAAGAAAACAGTAAAAGAAAAAAACATGATCAAAGCAATTTAAACACATGTAACCAGTGCCAAAATAATAATGTGATCGATCAGTCACCTTCATATATTTTCTGAACACAGCACGGATGTCTTCATTGAAGCTGGGCTGCAGAACGGTCCGCAGAAGATCCATGGAAATGACAGGGTCTGTATAACTACACACAATGACATTGATGTTTCGAAAGAACCACAAATCTCCTACAAATGACTTCATTAGAGCACATTATCCTGCGATAGGACAAAATAGTTTAACAATGAAAACAAATGTTGCACTTCATCTTAAAATACCTATTAGTGGACTTACCTAACGGCCATCTGTGAGCGCCGTCCTCTGCGATGCACCTGTCTGTGTTTGATCATGATGTTCCAGGGATTCTGCCATTCGGAAAAACATTTTCATAAAATGTAAATGGCCATTAAAAAAGAATGCAACAATCAAGATCCAATCAGGACAGCCCTCTTGCACGATTAATAATATCATGAAAGTTCTCTTAATAAATAATTTATAATGGCAAGTTTATGCATGTAACTGGATGGTTTTACTATATATATATA